TACTGTTTGAATTTTTTTAAGATTTATTTATTTTTATGTGCATTGGTGCTTTGCCTGCATATGTCTGTGTGAGGGTGTCAAATCCCCTAGAACTGGAGCGACAGATGTGAGCTGCCATGTAGGTGCTGGGAATTGAACCCAGGTCCTCTGGAAGATCACCCAGTGTTCTTACCACCTGAGTCTTCTCTAAGGCCCTAATGTTTGAATTTTTTTTAAAGATTTATTATGTATACAGTGTTCTGCCTACATGTATGCTTGCATGTCAGAAGAGGGCACCAGATCTCATTACAGGTGGCTGTGAGCCACCATGTGGTTGCTGGGAATTGAACTCAGGACCTCTGGAAGGGCAGCGAGTGCTCTTAACCTCTGAGCCATCTCTCCAGCCTCTAATGTTTGAATTTTTAAAGTCTTCTGGGACTTTTAAATTTTGGGATTTTTATATTGTAATGTTGATATTCATGTGTGATCTTGGACATGAACAAAAAGGTAAGGGTTATGGCTTAATAGTGATGTGTTTGTGTGTCAAGTTGACAAGGATCCATCATCTTTGGTCTGATGTCACCCTAACGCAAGGTGTCATTTGAGACATGGGAACCTCGGTTGAGAAAATGCCTCCACCAGATGGGAAAGTCTGTAGGACATTTTCTTAGTGATCGACGTTGGAGGGCCCAGCCCACTGAGGGTGGTGCCATCCCTGGGCTGGTGGTCCTGGGTTCTCTAGGAAAGCAGGCTGAGCAAGCCAGGAAGCAGCACCCCTCCATGGCCTCTGAATCGGCTCCTGCCTCCAGGTCCCTGCCCTGTGTGAGTCCCTGCCCTGACTTCCTCCATCATAAAGTGTTACCTAGAAACAGAAGCAGAACAAACCCTTTCCTTTCCAGTTTGATGTTGGTCCTGGTGTTTCATCACAGCAATAAAAATCCTGAGAAAGTCGTAACCCCCAATAAAAAGGATGATAATGAGGTCTTATGATAGCTCACAAAGCCCTCCTAGGCTCTTTTTATAGATCTGTGTAAGATGCAAGATATAAATAGGAAAGTTGGTTTTAACAAGTAAAGTCAGTTTCTTTTCTAAGGCAGAAGTCACAGAATTAGCTGTTCTTTAAAATCTCCTGGGAACTTTGTATGCCAGCAAACTTGTAGATTGCTCCTCGGAGTCTGTGCTGGGGCCTAGAAATCTTGTCTTTTTTTTAGCCTATTGGAAAGCACAGAGAACAAACTACCAAGCACATGGGTAATCCCAGCCTTAATAAACAGTGATAATTTCAAAATGTACTTTTTTTTTAAAAGGGTCTCTCGCTATAGTCCTGGCTGTTTTGGATTCACTATATAGACAAGGCTGGCATCAAACTCACTGAGATCCGCCTGCCTCTGCCTCCTGAGTGCTGGGATTAAAGGCGTGCGCCACCAAACCCAGCCTTCAAAATGTACTTTTAAAAAAAGGTTTTTGGAGCCAGGTGGTGGTGGTGCACGCCTTTAACCCCAGCACTCTGGGAGGCAGAGGCAGGTGGATCTCTGTGAGTTCGAGACCAGCCTGGGCTACAGAGTTCCAGGACAGGCTCCAAAGCTACAGAGAAACCCTGTCTCAAAAAGCTAAAAATAAAAAATAAATAAATAAATAAAAATAAAAAAGTTTTTTGTTTTTGTGGAGGTGGGTGGGTGTCAAGGTCAGAGGACAACTTATGAGAACTGGTTCTTCCTACTGTGTGGGTTCTGGGGTCAAACTCGGGTTGTCGCAGTTGGTGGCCAGTGCCTTTAACAGATAGCCATTTTGTCCACCACCTCAGAATGTACTTCTGTCCCCTCCCTATTTAAAATCCTTCCCTATTTGTAATCCTGCCTGTGTGTATTTTATTTTTGTTGTTTCCGGCCTGGGACCGGTTATGTACCGGAGGAAGGCAGTGAACTCCCGATCCTTCACCTCCCAAGTGCTGAGGTTACAGCATTTGCCCCCACACCAGGCTTTTTGTCGCTGGTTCTTTGTTTTTTAGAGACCGGACCTTACTCTGTACCCAGGCTGTCCTGGAATTCACTATACGGCCCACTCTATCCTTAGACTACGACAGTCCTCCGCCTTAGCCTCCTGAGTGCTGGGGTCACAGGCACCAGCCACGATGACCAGCTCTTACCAGCTTCGTGTGTTTTGATAAAGATTAGGCGGTGGGTATAGGTCAGAGACTGAGCCCAGCATGCTGGCACAGCCCACCAAGGGAGCACAGCTTCAAACATGTATTTCCTGTACTGGCCGAATTTCTGTCCAGCCACACCCAGTAGCTTGCAGATCTTCAAAGATATCCTGTCTTAGTTGCTCAGGTGGTTCCCTTGGT